AAAAACCGATGCCGGTAGCGACAAAAACTGCGGAAAACTCTGCAAAAAACGCATCTTCGCACGGGCAGCTCGTGCGTTGGCCAATTTTTATCTTATTATTCACCCATCCTGTTTTATCTAGAAATCGGCGGTATTTTGCAATAACAGAGTTTCATTTTGGTCATTTTCAGGCAAGAAAAATCAAGAGTGTCTGGCCACACAAAATACGCACTAAAGTGTCATTTTTCACCGGATAACAAGTGTTTTGCAACAACTGGCGCTGACGGCTTTGTACGTTTGTGGGACACTGCAAACACATCAATGCCCATGAATTCTATTGATGTTACTTCGGATATGCACAGAACTACTCATTCAGATAGGGTTATTTATTTTTGATAAACAATCAAACTTTGTTTTTGCCGAGATGAGGGGCGAATTACTCTTCTCTTGCTTTTTTAGAGATTTTAAGATTTTCTGTCCAGAAAATTGATATTTATACAGTCTTTTTTAGTTTCACATTCTCTACAAACCAGTTGTTCTTGCTGCTAAAATCTGAAATGTCATATTAAAAACTACTTCCGATAGGCTGCCAAAAACGGTTCAAAAAGTGTCTCTCTTTCTTTCAAAAAATCGTACTCATATTGCTGACATGAAACACACCGACTTCCAAATATTTTGAAGGTGATATATTAAAAGTTAAAATCACTCGGTTATGGATAATATAATTTTCAAGAAAGTAGCAGCATACATTATTAGATGAAAACAGAATCTCTCCGTTATTCGTTTTACTTTTCCAGTAGTTAGTCACTATAGACATGATTTACGATTTGCTGTTAATTTTAGGGACTGAAAATTCAAATATGTTACTCTGTCTAACACTCAGTGACAATGATAGGTAGTGGATAAGACACTGTGAATTTGCTTTACTTCCTCTCATTGATCTTCAGATGGAACAGAAATGGATTTGGGATTGCGCTTTCACATGTGACGCGAAATATCTTTTTACCGCTTCGGGTTACCAGCTAAGACTGTGGAATCTTGAAACCGGAGAGGTAATTCAGCTGAAAAACTTGAAACTTCCATGTATGTATGAGTGGACAAAAGACGAAGTTCGGCTCAGAATTTCTTCTGAAAGTAGCTTATTGTCATCCGTTCAGTTCCACACATTTGAAAGAAAAGCACCCTTTTTTTGCAGGTAGTGCGTCGATACCAGGGGCACAATAAAATGATCACTTGCTTCACGTTTAGCGACGGCGGCATTCGTAAAACAGTGCGGCAAAATGTTGTTAACGGTGAATGTGCATAAACGACATGTTCAAAGTGTACAGTTTGTTTTTTGTGCTTTTACAAGTTGGTTTTATCGTTTGTTCAAATCTCTTCCATCATGCTGCAGGATGTGATCAACCGTGGAAATTTGTTTTTTGGCGAAATTTAATAAGTTTTTGAAAAGTAATCTCTAAAATGGTGTGCCCACAGCCCATCTGGGACACTGAATTTGATAATTCATTCAAAATAGGAGATGGATTTACCACCTTCGCTGTTTTTTTTTTTTGACCCATCCCGCATCTTTGGGATTTTAGGGCGTATGGCTTTGCTGGACTGATATGTACAACCTTTTAACTTCAGATTGGGGGCTGTGAAATTTGGGGACTGATTCGAAGTTGTTTAATGGTAAACTAAATCCAAAACTCATAATTTATGTCGTAAGAAAGAAATTTTCAAGTTCCCTGCTCTTAATTCTTGTGGTACAATTTGAGATTTAGACTCAGTTAAAGCCGGGTTGGAAAACGCTTGGCATTCCTGCCCCAATACGATTGCGTTCATCCACAGGCTCTCTTTTGTGTTTTTAGCATCTACGCAATTTAGAAAATGCATATTGATTTGAGAGGTTGACTGTGTGTGTGTGTCTGTGTGTGCGGTGTGTGTCTGTACCGATTCTTCGTCTCGAAACCTATAAAAGTTACAGGGCTGAAACTTTGAGAACTTAATCTACATGCATGTACGGGCTCTCATCCGCAAAATAGGCGGTTTTACCTGCGTGGTACCCACGGGCCCATGAAAGTTTTTTGCGGGAAAGTCGTTAACTTGGGAACCAGAAAAGCTAGAAAGCTGAAATCTTAAGGGGTTGTTTTTCGTATTAAGGAGTTCAAGCCCTTCCCTCGGGTATGCGTGATACTCACGTACGGGCCCGCCAAATTTTTTTAAGGTAAGTTGCTAACTTGAGAACCGAAGAAGCTAGAAGACTTAAATTTTAAGGAGATGTTCCCCGTCTAAGTAAGTTTAAATGAGCTTGAACCCAGCCCCCGGGTATGCCTGGTTCCCAAGTACGGGCTCGCCAAAGTTTTTTTGGGTAAGTTTCTAATTCGGGAACCTGAGAAGCTAGAAGACTGGATTTTTGAGGGGTGTTCCCCGTCCACGTAGGTTCTGATGAGTTCAGACCTAGCCCCCTGGTATGCGTGGTTCCTATGTACGAACCGTGAAAATTTTTTGCGGATAAGTTACTAACTCGGGAACCAGACAGGCTAGAAAGTTGAAATTTTAAACGGATGCTTCTTGACAGTCCTGGTGGCCAGTCTCAATTCTTTTAGCTAGAAGCATTTGCCGGAGAAATTGGTGCTGGTAGCGACAAAAACTGCGGGGACCAATGCAAATAAATAGCAACGCGCACCAGACTAACCGATGCGATCATGCGTTTTGTGCAATTCCGCCCATCGAACGATTGCTTATTAATGATTTTCACTGCTTTGTAGTCTATGCAAAAATAGTTCAAACATTGGAAAACAGTTAAAAATTTTATGCACCAGCGCATGAATGAATTCGAAACCTTGAAGGGTGAATGTCTTTATCCGGAGTTAATAGTTTACCCGCCAAAATTTTCACGAGGCCATAGGTGATACTCAAGAGCGCGGGAACGCTGAATTAGAATGGGCAGGGTTGAGCGTGGGCAGAGGGTCATTACCCTAAAATTTCAGCTTCCTAGGCTCCGTGG